AGCTTCTGATTGGTTATTCATGTCATATATAGAAGTAAGTGTATATAATGGGGCATTTCCAAAAATGGAAAGATATGGGTGGGGTGCCACTGTGTTTGATTTATTACATGAACAATATCTTAGCAAACTGAAAAGATATGATGTATAGTTTATAAGTTTGTTGCTTTTTTTAAGTAAATCACACTTTTTAATGAATTTTCCAAGTGTTGAATTCACTTTTGGTTTACACCCACATCTAATACAGCTTCTAGTTCTTTCTCCAGTTAGTCCCACCTGACTTTGTTTTTAATTGAACTATCAACTTTTATAGCCTACACTTCATCATAATGCTCAATAACCATTTTTTAGTCATTCCATTTTAAAATTAAACATGTAGATTTTCATGCAAAAACAAATCATCTAGCAAAGAAACCACTGTGTAAGATCAAAAATCTTACTAACTAGACTGTAACTGGTCAAAACCTGCAGTAGTTAAACACAAAATATCGATATGTAGAAAACACATCATTGTTGTGCAGGACAGAAATATGTCTGTTTGTGTTAGTAAAGATCAACTATGAGCATGTTTGTTTTATTAGTGTTACCAGAATGGTAAAAAAGGCAATAAAATATTAGGAACCCTGGAAGACATTAAAAATAGGAGAAATACAACATTTCCACAATGCATCAATATTATAACAGTAATTCCACAAAATCTTATATCTCAAAAATTGTATTCTATTTAACATTTAAATATTCTATCTATTACAGAAAGTATATAAGGAATGTTTTTTATATTTTTCACCAACAAAATGTAGTTTTTTTGTTACTCTCAATAGTTGTTGTAATGGAATATAATTCACTCTAAAAAACGTGTAATTGTTGTGTAAAAAAAAAAATTGAAAGTCATATTTATACACTGAGCTATTTTCACATAAAATACAGAAAAAAACTTAAACTTGAAAAGTTTTTTTAAAGTTTTCTGAAATTTAAAGTATTAGCAGCTAAAACTAACCTCTAAGTACTTTTGAAGAAGTATGCCTTGATCTTGTACTAGCTCGACCAACATCAATGAAGTCTTGACTCTGGCGATTGTTCTTCTTCTTTTTCTTTGCAGGAGATGCATCTTCCGATATACAACTTGGCTGCTTGTTTTTCTTACTTGTAGAGGATAAAGATTTTGATTTGTCTACGAAACCACTACTTGCATTTGAACAAATACTATCAGTCCGTGAACAAGAGTCTTCATTTAGAGGAACTTCAATATTTTTTGCATCTCCTTGGTAGCTGTCAGACTCTTCTTCCACTGAATCTCTGCTATAGCGAGCACTTTCTGCTGAAGAACCCTCCTGTTCATAGGGTGGAGAGTTAGACGAAACAGACCCAACGCTGCCTGGAGTGGTTGGAGGAGTATTGTCCAGTACAGCTGAATCATGTTTGTTAGGGGGATCAGATAAGGGTGCACGAGCAACAGATTTAGAAAATGACAAGACTGTTGCTGCAGCACTGGTCAGGGAGCAAATTAGCTGCTGATGTATGTCTTCTGATCTTGATGACTCTGGAACTTCTGTTGAAGGCACCACAGACTGAGGTTGGTGTTCATAGCTGGGATTCATGGAATCTCCAGCTACAGGACTTGCTGGAACTTTCTCTTCACAAAGCAGGAAAGCTGCTTCTTCAATAGTTTCTGTATTGTCATCAACCACCTCATTATCTTTGATATTTGGTATGTATATATCCGATTCTTCAAACAATGATTTCTCTGTTTTTTGAAGTACTTCATCATAAACAGTGTCTTGTTCTTCCTCAGGAGGAGGGGCATCTTTCATTTTAGCTTTCTTTTTCTTCTTTTCTTTTTTTGTTGCCCTTCCAATCTTTTCATTATCCACTGAAGTTTCAGCACTGTCATTTTTCTCATCATCTGTGTCCATAACATCATTATCAGTCTTACCTTTCTTCTTCTTCTTTGGTTTCTTTTGAGTTACACCATCTTTATTTTTTTTTAATTTTTTCTTTTCCTTTTTAGTTTTATCCAATTCCATTGTATCTTCCTCTTTAACTTCAACTTTGGATGTTTTCTTTTTCTTTTCTTTTCGTTTTGCTTTCTCACTTTCCATTGTTTCATTTTCTTTTTTCTTGAGTTTCTCAGGGTCTTCAACATCTTTTTTCTTGACTCTACCAGATTCTGAGTGTGAGTATTCTTGCTTGCCCCCTCCTAATTCAATATCACCATCACTCTTTACTTTCTTTCCCTTCTTCTTATCCTTTCCTTTTTTCATTTTTCCTTTTCCTTCAACTACTTCTGAATCTTCAAGTTCAACTTTCTTCTTCTTAGAACGGCCTTTTCCTTCCTTTGGTTTTCCCTCATCAGCATCAGTTCCATCATCTTTCCTGCCTAGTTTTGAAACCTTTAATTTTTTCTTCTTTCCTTCTTTCTTAGCTTCCAGCTCCTTGAAGTTATCAGAAACCATTTTATCTTTCTCAACTTCATTAGAACAGATATTTATAACATCTTCTACAGAAGAGCTTTTTGCAACAACTAAGGTACCACTATCAGTCAAGTACTCTTTTTCCATATCATTCTTCTGTTCACTTATAGGTTTTTCAAAAACTTCTTCTATTGGTTCCCAAGAATCATTTACTTCACTCTTGATAGTTGTTACTTCTGTATCACTCTTGACAACATCCGATGTAATAGCAGAAACAGACTTCATTACTTCACCAACTTCCTCTTCTTTCACATCACCTTTTAGTTGCAAGGCACATTCTCCATCCACATTGGATGGTGTGAAATCCTCTTTATCTGAAGATGAATTAGACATACATTCTTTATCAGAACTTCTTATTTCAACACGACCTTCCTCTATTTCAAAGGGTTGTGATTGAGATAATTTCATTATATTTGATTCACCTGTGGATGATTTTCCAGTATTTATCAATGTTGGGAGATCTTCATTTGCAACATCAGGTTCTTGGCTGAAATCTTCATATTCTTGTTCTTCATTTATATTACTGGACTCCTCAACATCTTGCTGTTCATCCACATTTGCAATCACATCATTCTCGCAATTATTACTTGTACTAAAGTTATCACATTTCAATACGATATTTTCCTCTACTGCCAGAGCATAATATTTTTCTTCTTGTCTGGCTTTATCTTTCAAATTGCATGTGCTATCAGATGAATCACTTTTATCTTGCCAATCTTCATCTGCCTTGAATTTTGTTAAGTCTTTATCACAATCTTCTTCAACATCCTTGATTGAAGGAGTACCAGGAGTTCCAGTACTTGATGAATCTTCTATGTTAATATAGTTTTCAAAAATATCTGTCACCACATCCTCACATTTTTCTTTTCTAAGTTTTGAACGTCTTTTCAAAACTTTTTGTTTAATCTTAACATTGGAAAGTGATTTCAATGATTCATTTTTGTCTTGAGGACAATCTTCTTGAATTTCTAATTCTTCTTCAGCCTTTATGGAAATATTTTTTTTGTCTTCTTCTGAACTATCCTGAAATATGTTTTCATTTATTTCATAATCACTACAGGCTTCACTTTGTTCAACCTTACATTTATGATCTGACTCATTTACCTCAGAAAGAGATAGTTCATCTTCAATAAACACAGGTTCTAATTCATCAGTTTTCTTTACACTTTCTTCTAATTGATCATCATCTTGTGCTTCAACTTCAATTTCTGAAGCATATTCTTCTTCATCACTTTCATCTGTTTCTTGACATACATCATTCTGTGAGGTGACAGAGATCCCAGATCTGTGTCTCGTCTGTCGTTTTGTTGTTAGGCCATAAACAAAGGGTGATTCAGAAAGGCTGTTTCTGTCTGACCGGGTAGATCGTCCTCTTCCTGAAACAGAAGGAGATGAGCTTGTGGAAGACCTTCGTGATGAGGTAGAAGGGGATGAATGAGATGGAAGTCTGGCAACAGATAATCCTGGGGGTCTTCCTCTCGTGGCTGGTGTGTTGGCACCTTGGACTCCCTATAATTGACCATAAAGAATGTCTTCTCAGATAACAAATATGCCACTAAATTTCAAATAAATAACAGAACTTCTCACCTGCAACATTTCTTTATATGATTTTGAAACTTATTTTCTGTGTTTCCTACAATGGAAAATATATTTAAATAAAAGACTATAATACAGGAGAAAAACTGTGATAATAATACCTTAAAAGATTTATAAACATCACAATGTACTTGTGAAGACAGATTACTTCACAACTTTATAACTAGATCTCTCCAATGTGTATGAAGCAATCTGTGATTTTTATTAGACTACTTTTAATGAATCACAAAATTTTGAGAACCTGAGAAGTGAAACTGTTCAGAAAGACATTTTCTTTGACATAGCACATGAAACATCGTTTAAAGACAGATATTACAACAGCTTAGTACAGTATTTTATTTTAAAGAAATTCAGAAAATTGAAAGCAAAAAAGTGTTACCACATAGCAACAAATTTCTGTTTAACTAACAAAATTACCAATTATACCTTCAATTGATTTGCCTTCTTTACTTTAGATGTGGTAATTTTCTCTGTTATTTTTTCTATGATTCTTCTTCTTTTTACCCATTCATCATATCTGAAATACAACAGTTTTTAATAACACGCACCTGACATTCATTAAGCACCAAGAGATATATGAATATATATGTGGAAACAGTACTGTAAAGAAAATTTCATTATGAATGTTTAAAAAATATCAAAAAAAAAATTAGGTGGTTTCTCTGCAGTACCAAAACTATCAATGATAATAATCATTTTTGAAAGTAAATGTAACCCTTTAACCAAGTGTCAGTAGAAGTGTTGTGAATATAAGTTATTGTATATTACAACTTCAAATAGACCATTTTTCTAATATTTGTGCTTTGAAAAATATTATCTTAAACTAAGTACAGAATGAAACATTTTCTAAATACCTTCTACTGAAGGTTCAGTTTCTGAAGAATCAACTAGCAGAAAAACTAAAACTAAATCACTGTTCCTACCTTACATTCCAGCCAGTGTAATGTACAGAATACTGCTTTTCTCCTGCATCAGTTTCTATTTTTGTTATCTTGGCTTCATATATTTTTTGTTGTTTTCCAGATCCATATTTCACTTTCACTCTGTCTCCTAGCTCAAGTCTTCCTTCCAGTTTTTTACCTTGTGCATTATCGTTTCTAGTAAACAAGTTAACATGCTGTTACCTTGATGTTATTTGTATCTCAAAATATTGACAAATATAAAAAGTTGAGAAATTATAACTCAAAAATAAGTCATTGAAACAAATACCTCACAACACAGCCTACTGATCCACTTACTGAGCCACAAACAGTAGACTATAATATTCTAAGAACTTATGATTGAAAGTCAAGAAGAATGTATAACAATGTGGCAACCACACAATATCTGCTATATCTAATGTCAATGAGCCCTTTCACCCAATACCAGTCAGTGCTCATCAAGCCAACTGTGATACGAAATATAGAAGAAGTTAAAGACACTATCTATATCACTGTTTCCCAACATTTTTTGCCACAGCACCCCATTCAGCAAACAATGAGTGCTCATGGCCCCTTGTAATAAATTTTTAATACAAGTATCAAAAGTGGTGCCAAAAGAGATATGATCAACAAATAGACGAGAAGTATTGGGGTGGGCAATGCTTGCCACAAACACACTCACACAATGATATTTGCTTAAATGTTTTGAAAGAAAAGCTTTTATTTCTTATGGTTTAATTTAACAACTATAACTTTGAAACCCTCAAACTTTTCTGTCCATCGTCTGCCATCCTTGCAAAGTTTACTGCTCCCCTGAATTTTAAATATGCCCACTATGGGGCAGTACCACCCAGGTTGGGAAACCCTGATCTATATTATCAAAGTCCATATTAACCATATTAAGTTGGTGAAGTATAATTGTTATCAATTTTATTTAAGTGATTGAAATAATTAGGGTGTAGATTTTTTTTATTTATTTATTTTGATACTAAGTATATTTATTATTAATATTATTTGTTTACTTTTTTCAACAATTACTCTCTGAGTTAACCAGGCCATGTATGATATTCCACCTCTGGTTGGTCCACATCTGATATTTCTTCAACTCTCTTGCAAATTTTATGAAACATGCACTATCTGATGAGGAATACAACAGTGTTCATCAACCCAAAAACTGAAAAGAATTGGAGTGGATACAATGATTTTCATTTTTAGTACATGGAGACAATTTTTACTAAGCTTTGCCCGAGGTCAGGGTGTTATTGTAATACAACATCTATAGAGATTCTTGTGAACCCAGAAATCATCAGGAACTGTAAAGACAACCAGCAGGTTTTCTGTCAAGATCATCCATATCTCAGAGAACTTTGTTTTTGTTCTTTTGTTTGTTGTTAAGCACAAAGCTACACATTGGGTTATCTATGCTATGCCCACCACAAAGTATTGAAACCTGATTTTTAACAGTGTGAGCCTGCAGTCTGCCCTCGGAGGACAGATGTCAGAAGCATTAGATACAAAGCTTACTTGCAGCAGACACAAATGCAATCATGATGAGAAAACAACTGCAAGAAAATTAGCTGTAAAAAAGGCTAAAGCAGAATTTTTGTTGGTGCTAGAGAAAATGGCAAAGAGAAGTAACTCTGCCTCCAAACTGGGTACATTCAGAGTTGTTGGAAGACAAGTACAACCATGACCAGAGTGGTGAGTGGTTGTCTTTGGGGATACAGACAACCACTATAAAAACAGAAAAAAATTCACAGCAAAAAAAAACTCTTTAAATCAAGCCCTACAAATCTCTATATTATATTCCAACTCTTCTGGATTTCCAGATCTCATGTAGACCCCACTTCAATAAAAAAAATTACACAATTTGTCCAGTTGACTCAGAAATTCATTGTTAATTAATTTTACTCGTAATTCAGAAGAACTGGCAAACTAGCAAGATAATATTCTTGTCCCTAAATGGGATGAGATTACATTATTAATTCTATAAACTTATGATTGAGAGTTTGTTTTGAATTTCACGCAAAGCTACACGAGGGCTATCTGCACTAGTCAGCCCTAATTTAGCGTGAAAAAGACTAGAGAGTGAGAAGGCAGCTAGTCATCATCACCAACCGCCAACTCTTGGGCTACTCTTTTCCCAACAAACAGTGGGATTGACCATCATATTATAATGCCCCCACAGCTGAAGGGGCAAGCATGTTTGTAGGGATGGGGATTTTAACTCGCGACCCACATAGTGTCAAATACCCTTATCACCTGACCATGATGATTGAAAGTAAAGAAGAATGTATAACAATATATCAACTGTACTACATAAGGTAGTACTATAAGTCCTAGAAAATGTAATTGAAGATTTAGATAATATTAAATTCTAGATGCACAAACACACGAGTTAAGACTTGGCATTAACAAATATAACTACTTTTACATATTAATGTACAGAACTTTAAAACTCTCAGTTTTCTGTAATCTACCCTTGAAACATATAATAAAAATTTTTGATAAAAACAAAACTCTCTCCACAAGAAATTAATTAGAAAATTTTGGTTCTTGTATCATTTTATACAACATCTAATAGATTTAATACAGTTTCATATCTTTATTCACAAAGCTTACCTTTGTTAACACTTACCATTACATTATTAGTTTTAGTTATTTTGCAAGTGAATAATATAACAAATTAGCACATGCACACTTAAAGAACTATTTCTCTTGGTCACCACAGAATGTAGAGAAACATATGATTACATATCCTTCCATACTGTTGTGAATGGTATTTTCTTTGCTCCATTTTTATGTTAAGCAGAGCGTGATGGAGGATAAAAATGGATAGATGACTTAGAGTTGTATATGAAGAAAAAATAGTTGTGTCATTTAATAAAATAAAAAGAAATAGAAAACTGCTCAAAGTAAATGAAGGAAAGATAATATGCTTCATAAGAATTGTTACAGACTTATATAATTTCTTTTTATAGCATTAAATGTTTAAAATAAGTATAATTTATATTAAGTGTATATGCATTAGTCTCATGATTAGGGTTTGCAACACATTGGGGAAGCTAAACTAAATATTGTGCAGTAATTGACTGCACATAATACACACTACAACAAATTGCATCACACCAATGAAATTTGCATTTGTCTTTTTTACAGTACGTTTTCCAAATGACTAACTCTGTTAAAAGAAGATAGCTAGTACCTATAATACTTTACTATACTGTATTTATAAGTCCTGAATATCTGCTGTAACTTACTTTGATTCTTTGTACAAAGACAATCTGTGAATGGCATGATGTGATGCAATATGTAGCAGGCAATACAATATAAATGAAAAGTATTATGTGACAAATAACATCCATAATACTCTACAGTATACTGTTTCACAACAAGTTTGGCACCTGGATTAGCTACAGAATTTAAAATGTCAGCTTAAATCCTGTTTAACCCTATCATAGCAATATCACACTTACTCATCTTCAAGCTGATGTGGCTTGTCATCTTCAACAACTTTAGGTTTTTCTAACTGCTTCTTAGCCTGCACAGTTAAAAGATACATAAAAATTGTACCATTCTTAACAATCTAGGTAACATGAGCCTGTAAAGACTAAAGACCCTAATGTAAACAAAGATATTGTAAATAATAAGGATACCAAACTAATGATTTAATATTCTAATCATTGTATGTTTTAATTTCTCATCAATTTCCTATACCAGGTTGTCTTCATTAACTTGTGATTTATTTCTCAAATTATTTTGATTGTTATTTACATAGCTAGCTTACTTATGATCAGAAGTTATTGATAATTAGTAAATCCTTTATAAATTTTGTGAATATTGTAACAAAGAATCGTAACATTTACTGCTTTACAGACTTTAGCTTTCAAACATTACAGTGACAAGACACTGATGTTGTGCACAAATCATAATAAACACAATAAAAAAGAAAAAAACTACACTTTTTTTTAGATCAGACAAAATTCATCTTTCTGAAAACAATTTCAACATTAACTGTTTCTGCATTGTCTAACTTTAAATTTAACATTGTTCCATGGATGATTCACGTACATTTAAGGTAAAAATTAACTCACACTTAAGTAGAATCCTAACTACAATATTTACTAATATATCAAATTAATACAAATCAATTTTTTGTTGTTTTTGTAATGAAGAACATTGCTTAGTAAGTATACTTAGAACTAGCTTCAACCTCCTAAGTTGGCCAAACATTATGAGATATTACCAAGATTATCATAGAAAATAACACTAATAGCAAGGGCATCCACCTGATGAATCAATGCATTTTAATCATTATGAGGTTTTTATTTTATGACACTATACAATCCTAGTTAGAACAATGTATTAAATTTCATTAATACGTTTTAACCTGTTCAGCACAAATTAATTTTTGTTGTATTTGTAATAAAGAAAATAACTTAATATGAGGATTTAGGACTAACTTCAATCTCCTCTCCTATGCTGATCAAAATGTATATTTTTGATATTATCACTGAAAATAATGCTAACAATAGGTGTACCCACCTGATGGACCAATGGCTGCAAATCATTATAAGTTTCTGTTTCATGACACTATATATTCCTAGTTAGAACAATATATTAAAATAGGTATAATAATTTCTAGATTAGTTTAAGTTCTGATCTATATGGGTAGCTTGCTTTGATCAAAGTTAATGTTAACTATTATCAAGAAATCATTTTGAATTTCACAGAAAGATAACCAATGTGATTGACCTGAGTGAAAATATTTTCCGTGTTGACAACTTGTTTGTCTTTTGAAAAAATTAATTATTCATATTTTGTTCAAATGGTTTTAGTCATTGATAATTATTAAAACTGATTGACTTAAATTAAATTTTAAAAAATTTTCAACTAAAATACTAAGAAAAACATTTCTGTAGAATATTTGCTCAATAGCATTCAACAATGTGACAAATACATAAGTTAAACAAAAAGCTTTAGTGGTTTACCTTTACACTTTCTATTTTTCTTTAACTAGAGTCACATTATTAAAATAGCATAAAACCCTATACATTTATCTTGAATGAACCTAAATCAATCAATTGTTAAGAAAATTAGCCAAAAAACTCTGAGTGGGAATAAGTAGATGATGGGAAAAAAAAGTTTAGAAATTATATGTACTTTAATGCTTTTAGTTATCCTAAAACCAACAGAAAATTAACACAATACACCTCTCTTCAGGATTATAAAATTAGTAAATAATCATCACGGAAATGCAACTGGTAAGACAAACTCCTTGAAAAGTAACCAGAAATGGTGGTATAGCTTAACTAAATATAAAAGTGTAGATGTTTTCTATCCCTCGGAACAAGTACCAATTAGAACAATCAAAGTAATCCCTAACTTCTGATACTTCACTTGTTAGTAGTAAAAAACTTTGATACCATTAAATCCTATAATTCCTGACTTTATTTAACAACGACGTGTTCTTTTCAACACTACTAAGCACTACTATCTTAAGGGTGACAACCAATGGTGACAGTCCAATGGTGGTGAGGGGGTAAGAAAAAAAAAAGGAGCTTCATTACTGACTCACCACTTTCTGAAGCAAATCATTTCTTTTTTCCGTCACTTTCCTCTTTCCTTTAGTTATTTTCTCTTTCAGAAACTTGTCTTCCTTTTCTTCAACCTTTTCTTCTTTCAGGTTTTTGTTGTCCCTTTTTGACTTTGTAAGTTTTTCAACTTTTATTTGTTTAAGGTTTTTTTCATCTTGCTTCATAAGTTTAACAGATTTTTCATTTTTTACGTCTTTCAACTGTTTTTCTTCTTTTACACTGGACCTTTCTTCTTTAGTATCATTCTCACTCACCAACGTATCTCTTTTACCATCACTCTTTTTCACATTATCCTTCTCCCTTTTCTCTGCCTTGGGTGAAAAAAGTGTTTCTTGTTTGTTAGGGCTTGCTGATTTTTCTCTTTTGGCTTCTTCCCTTGTTCGAGGCCTACGATCTTCTTTCACTGGCTGTTTTTCATTATCGTTGCTCAGATCTTCATCCTTAGCGAGTGTTTGTGAACGAGAAAGTCTTCCCTTTTCAATTTCTTCATTCTGATTTTCTTCTTCCTTAAATTCCCTTTTCTTTTGCTGATGAATAATTTATTTAAAAAATAATGTTAACTAAACAATAAGAAACAGAGAAAAGTCCTTAAAAAATAAATTATTATTTATCAAAACTTTGAAACAATGCTGAATATTGTTGAAAAATTGGCTTTAATAATGTATAATAAGAAAGTGTCATAAATAAATAAATTTTCGATAATATGATTATTAACACCAAGAAAGATTATATATACAAAACAAATTCAAGATATGAGCTAATACTGATAAATTTGAGCTTGTCCATAAATATTCATTTAACAAAAAATTGGAGAAAATAAAAACAATCTTTTTTCTATTGTCAAGGTTATATTTTGTCTAATATTAAATAAGTTTTAATTATCTTGTGCAAAACTCATATATTTCATTTTATTGCAAATAATGAAAAAGCCAATGTATAATTTTTATATCAAATATTCTTAAATCTATCAAAATGTTAGGATTACCAGAAAAACTTTATAAAAAAAAGAGAGAGAGAATAAGAAGAGTTAACACATAGCATGACCTTCAGTAAATTAACACCATGGATTTAGAACTAATAACGATGACTACAAAAAATGTTTCAATAAGTAAGTTTATTCACCATTATACTCAACATTTAAACAAACCAACAACATACAGCTTAAGCTCAGTATTTATATTTATTCCATTTCTATACATAGAACTTTTCTTGACATTTAGTAAAAAAAAATCTATCACCACCTTCTCTGACTTTCCAAGAGTTTCTTTCCCTGTGGCTTTTAACTCTGACACTTCTCTATCCTTAGGATGAATAAATATGCGGTGTCTCTCAGAGCGATGTCGCACTCGACTTGACCTGGAAGTCGTAACCATTGTGCAGCCTAACTTGCGGTTAAAGTCTTCAAAACTATGAAGGAACCTTTGCATAATAAAATAAAAACCCACGATAAATGCTTTTGGAAAATCTATTTTTAATTTTTACTTTATAAGCGACTCGCTACGATGTAAAATGACCACCTTTTTTATATCAAGAAAATATGCAAATAAAAACAAACTGGTTACTGTATATTCAGTTACGCTACTTCTGAATTTGAAATAAAGTTTTGAGCAAATTAACAATCCATAATCTTCCCAAACTATTTTTTGTTCTTGATACATAACAATACCAAGATAATTAAGCCATAAAATTTCATTTTCTTTGCCAATTATCTCAATCAAACATAAGTGATTATCTATTATGCACATAAATTAATAAAACTGGGAACAGAGAATCATGGGAATTTAAGTTTTTACATATTTACTGTTGAGTACAAAACTGCACAATGACTCATCTGTGCTATGCCCATAATTGGGAATCAAACTCCAAATTTATAGTTATAAGAACTAAAGCTTACCACTGAACCATTAGGAGTCCATTAACTTCAGAGAGAATATCTCATAAAGGCCATCTTGTTAGGTCAAATTGTTAAAACAAACTTAGAGAATGAGAAATACCAGCTCATTAGTTAAACAAAGTATGCTTTAAAAAAAAAGTACTGATTCTCCATCTACATTTGAATTGTTAATTACTCAAAGAAGCTGTATGAATAATAATTTTCCTAGGTAATGGGACATGTCATTCTCTTTATAAATATGAGAGATGCCTTGGCCAGTTCTGCAAAGTATCAAGTATATACATATAAATCTATTAAAAATATGTCGAACTCATTCTCTGTCAAGTTACTTCAACTGCAATATAAGTAGGATAGACAGAGCATAGAATTAAAAACGTTATTGTAATTCTCTATTTTTATGTTTTTAGCAACTAAAATACAATATATACGTGTGTAATAGTCAAATTTTTGTGACCAATGTTTTAAGCTACAAGTTAGGGATTGATTTTTACATGAATAATACTTTCGAGAGGTTGAAATGCATGCTCAGTAACAGTCTACAAAACATAAAACAAAACCACAATTGATATAAAAGTCAATAAACAACGAAAAAGCAATTTTTATTTTTATTTACAAAAACAGTAAACATGAAAACTGATATATTATCTTAATAACAGAATAATCAATTTTTCAGATAAACATGTGACATATCTATCTACCAGTAATATTGGCACCCTTACCTTAGAGTACATTAATTCTTTAAAATTACAATTTAATGATTGTGCAAACAGACATTTAGCAGAGAAATATATGTGGACTATTATGAGTTTAAAGCTATCTGATAAACAAATGTAGTTTCATGTTACAATTTGAAGTCATTCTAGTTATAGTTTTAAAACTATATACAAGTAAAAATGGTTACATGGTCAGTCCCTGGGACTGAATATGTGTTGGTAGAGTTAAGTGTTTTTGTTTGTTTCACGAGTTTTTGGAATAAAGTGTGACTTGGCCTGGGGTGGGCAATTGCTTTCTTAGGTTGTGGGAAAACTAGGTCAACTTTTACATGAGATATATAAAAAATTAAGACTTTTTTGGTAAAAAAATCATGGGCCGACTATTACACGAGTATATACAGATCCATTCAGTGTCATTAAGCACAGACAAAAATGCATCCTCTGCTGGACAACTTCTGAAATAGTACAGCCAAAATTAAGTATTTAAAATACCTCATCCAGTCCCTTACAGATTTTCAAGAATTAGAAGAGTGTATAATAATAGTATTTCAACCACACTATATTTGTCATATTCAGTGCTGAAAATGTACTTTGCTCAATCCATTGCTCTTCAGGTCAGCTTATATATAATGAACTCTGTAGTAGTTGGAATACTATTTATATAATCCATTTGTTACAACAACAATTGTAATGGCATGAATGCCTTGTGGAAGCTTGCAAAGCATGACATAATTAATTATATTTGTCATAACACATTATTTTAGGCTTATTATATTTTTTAACACTATATTCCTAATCTAGTCCCTTACAGATTTCCAAGAATTAGAAGAATGTATAATAATAGTATTTCAGTGACACTATATTTGTCATATCCACTACTGTGTTTGTTATATCTCACCAGCCTGATGAGCTCTGGATTGAGGGAAATATTTTGTCGTCGAAGGACATGATGAAAATAGTGTGACTGAAATACTATTATTATACACCCTTCTGATTCTTGAAAATCCATAAGGGACTAGATTAGGAATGTAGTGTTAAAAAACATAACAGGCTTAACATAATATCTTATGACAAATCTAATTAATTATATCATGCTTCATCAGCTATTAAAAGGCATTCCTACCATAACAATTGTACATAAAATACCACACAACAACAAACAAAATAAAAAAAGTATTTTTCTTATAAACCTCAATATTAATGTTATTAGACAAATTAATTCAACCACAATCACTTTTTCCTTTAAAATATACTTTGACAAATTGTATAAGGAATGCTAATATTCTGATTGAAAATTCCTTTGGATAACTTGTTACCTTTTGTATGCAGATCTCATTTGATTTGGAGTAGCATGAACTGAAGGAGGAAGCCCCATCTTACTTAGGACTATTTTCCACATGTTTTGACTGCTCACCTATATTACAACATAAATAAAAACAAACATTAAATTACAAGTAAAATATATAATACTTCTTACTTAGATTTCACTTTGAATACTCACAAAACTATTTGCAATACACACATATAGTTGTACTTATCAATTTTAAGGATACATTTTTTAACTCAATATATCATGATGTCATAGTTGCCACAAAACTATATGCTAAACCTCACCCTGGAAAACCAGTGAGGTCAAAATGTATATATCAGCTTTTTAAACACATTTTTCTAAACTATTTATGCAATCAATCTGCTTGTGAATCTATCACTTTATTGATTGCAAGGTCCTTAATGCTTTATCTCTGGAGCAAATACAGGTTTTGGACAGAGCAAAAATGGCTGCAAGAAAGTGACCACATTTTCTTCATTAAGAAAAGCTTTGAGGAAATCCAGTAGTGAAAGGCTTTCATCCAAATCCAGCTTCACATTTTGTGGCTCACAGAATGAAAAGTTTGCATCAGTCTCTCATCTTTAAATACTCTTTATGCTATTACATCTTTACCATTCTCACAATCCCCTCCTGTTTCTACAACTGTCCTCTTCATCTTGTCAGGTGGTCTAGATCCAGACTCTGCTTTTCCTTTCCTCATAGTAGCACCACTGGTCTTTCCCTTGCCTTTACCTGTACTCACATCCGAAGGGCCTGCCACAGGACTCTCCTTTCTCTCACTTTCACCAGATCTATCCAAATCAAATTTGTCACTTTCAAAATCATCATCATCAAAATCAGTGGGAATAAAATCATTTTCCTGGCTCAGAAGTTCCTCAAATAACTTCCTAGCTTGCTTAGGAGTAAAGTGACGAGGCGCATCTGAAGCAGTGGGTGTGACCATTTACTTTGTTTTGAAATAGGGGTTCAAAACACTCACATAAATCACTGAAAACGTGTCTTGTTTCTATAAAATTGGTGCTCAGGTTAAAGATATTTTGTTAACAGAAGTAGTTCTAGTTTTATGTTGAATATATATAAGGCATGCAAAATGTGGGATTGATCGTAAAACGGAACAAGACCTACAAGCCAATATATTGGCAGCTAGTTCAAGTAGGAAAACAAGTGTGCCAATATATTGGTTGCTCAGAGGCAAAGAGTTAAGTACAGATGAGTTACTACATGAAAAAATTTAACACAGCAATAATGTCAATATTGCAGTTAATTATTGCTAGAGTTTTTTATATATCTTATGTATAAAATGAGCAATTTCAACCAACTTGTTTTGGTCAGTTCTTTACAGTGAATGTTGCAATACGCAAAAACATAAAATTACTCGATAGAATGCAATATATGGACAACAGACTGTAAAAAACAAGTCAATAATTTAAGGATTATAGGAAGCATGGTCTCAAAATTTGCAAATGAAAAATGTTATATATAATGTTTTTTAAAAATTATGATGACCTATGATATCAATAATATATTTTACATATTTTATCTTAAACAAAATGGTTCATTGTGAATACAATATCATTATTATAAATAGACTTAAATGCTTTTACATTTAAATCTAACCTACCTTATTGAAACCACCGAGTTTGTGCACAGTCTTGAAAAGCTTGTAAAGGTTTAGATCTCTATTGCCTACAGTAGGAGCAATGTTGATAGGAGTCCCTAGAATTAAAAAAACTATTCAAACAAATAATACAAATATTCCAATATATATCCAAAACTATCTTCAAAACATTACAGTTTGACAAACATAACACATAAATCTGGCAAATTAAATCAAAGAATAATAAATGCAAAAATACACTAAGATCCTTTTCACAGGTGAATTTTAACAATATCAAATATTTCAGTGTAACTCTATTAATAAAAAAAGTAAACAAACATAGAAAACAGAATACTATAAATGGAAAATATAAAAACTGATTCTGTAATTAACCGTTCCTCCATTATACAAACAAAAAATTATCTTAAGTACACAAGCTTCAATGGGAGTACTGGTGTTATAGTTGTATCTTAATATTTTTTTTACTTAAGTGAAATATTGTAAATGTATTTATAATGTTACAAAAAAAAGTATCAAAATTGACTACTTTCTACAAACTGATTGAACATTTACCTCTGTCATCCATAAACTTGTAAAGCTGAGCAACAAAATGATCTTTTTCTTCACTTGGCTCATCATCAGAAGACTACAGGTTTCAGAAAATAAAAAGTCAATTTTTTTTTTCTGCAAGTTCCTAGCTAATGAACAAATTTTACTCAAATATTATTCAATATATAAAATCAAGCTGAACAACAAAATTAGTTTAGAGCCATTTAAATTACATCGAATAGCAAATAGTTGAAAAAGTCCATAAAGGATCTCTATAATTACCCGTTATATTTGTCAGTATTCTTACTAAAACTTGCATTCAAACTGCAATTTAGTTCATTTTTCCTTATTAGTAATAACTACTCTTACAGTAAAATTTGGAATTTGAGTACAAATACGTTCATTTATGCTTAAGTTATTAAATAAGCATACATAATTTATTTAACTTTAAAAATTTTAAACAGTTATTATTTTAGCCACATCTTCAAAAGAATTCCCTTTGATTGATATGAAAACATATCTTTTAACATGTACCAATAATTACTAAAAAAATAAAGGCTAGACACTATACACATTTTATAGACTTTTGGGTTTTCCAGCTAAGTGTATTCTTTGACACATTTAAAAACAGTTAATATTTTAAAAAGCAGTGGTTTTAAATCAAAACTTGAAGAATCACTCAATGAATGTGCAAACTGCTATTTGATTTAAGGTATCAATGAACAGAACCTAAAAAATACATTTTCAAAAACGTTCTGTATCATCTAGTGAAAACTGATCCACAAACACTAATCTTGTATTATCATCTATCAACAATTTCTTATCTATAAACAGTACATGCTAGCATCACAATAATGAAAAAATAGTAATTATTTCTGTATAAATATTTTGCAGGTAGTAAATAACCTTCCTATTTAGCATATCATTGTGTTCAGTATTTACATATCAGTTTTTGGATAGACTACAAGGTTGAAGGTGCTCATGTCATCTCGTTAGATTTTCGTGTTAGATGTCGTATTACTTACACATATTAGAAAAAAAAATTGCGATTGCAAATCTCTTTTTTAACTGAGTATTCCAAAAATCAATATTAATAAATCAGGAAACATGCAATGAATGAATGAATGAGATAAAGTATTTTTCCATTACGAGTATAAAAGTTGAAATGCCTGGTGTTTACACCTAACCTGTAAGTCCACCAAATTAGTACTTACCTCAGATTCTAATTCGTTGTCATCCTCCTCAGCCGAGGTGGAATTCAAACCCAAAACATCCCAATCCCACTGAGGTGGAAGAGTTTCATTCTGAATAAACTGGAAAGCTTTCTCTACAGCTGATGAAAAATAACCTTGTTATTTTCAATAATTCTATACGATGTATTTGTATGAATTGAAATTAACTTTTTATTACTGTACTTAATTTCTAATTATTTGACAAAACATGTTTACTTTAATTCCAAAATATTTATTTTTAAAAATAAAACAAATATGTAATCACTAATGCAAAAACATTCACAAGTAGATAAAATATTCTTTAATGTAGCTAAATTATTATTTTTTTAAAATAAAATCCATCAAAAAAGTGTTGGTATGCACTTAATTTGATCTTTTGATTTTTATTACAAACAAGAACTATTATTTTTCAAATGCTACTTAAAAAATTCATTATGTCTTAATTTTTTTACCCCTTAGTTTAGATGAAAGGATAAAATGAAAAGTCATACTATATGTTGACAAGTTAAACAGATTATTTACCTGCTTTAAGGGAAGTGTTTTCAATTTTAGATATGTTAATATCCTGCTGAAATTCTTTAACATCCTTCTTAGAAGATTGGTAGCTAAAATAGACAATTACCCTATTGATTAATACATTACAATTAATATATATAATATATATATAATACAATGTTTTAAAAATAATTTATAAACACATAAACACATACATAAAAAATTATATTTGTGTTTAAAATAGCAATACTCACTATTTTCCATCTCTAAAAGACCTAATAAGGTATTCTTCTTTGGTGTTAATTTTCAAACTATCTTGTGCTGAAGGTGCTACAATCAGTCCCGGAAACCAACTATCTTTTTTCCTTCTATCTCCCATGTCTATCCTCACCACTTTTCCTAGGTCAGGGTCTTTATCTTTCAGTTTTGGTTTTTGTACTTTTCTGGGTGGTGACTCTTCATCACTACTTAGGTCTTCTCTATATGTTTTAAAAGAAAGAAAACATTTTACAAATTGTTAATTTTACAACTAAATAAAATTGTGACATATGAATAAATGAGGCATTGAAAAGTTGAGATCTTCAAATTTATACTACAGTTCTCTAAACATAAATAGAAACTCAAACATAAAGCATCCATACTTTCAAACTAATGACACTCCTTAATGTAATGAAAATGATCTAAAAAAATGTAATTCATTCTTTTCTGGTAGTCACTGATTTAAGCAGTTTTAATTATATGGATGTATAGCTTGATAAAATAAGTGATTACACTGATATTGCTCAAACTGAAAATAGTTGACTTTTGTTTACTGGTTACAAGAATGACAGTCAATCTCTTAGAATGGATGGCGAGGGTAGAATGTTGCTGCCTTCCCTCTGGTCAGTAGTTCAAAACTAGGGATGGTGGAAGATAGCCTTAGTAGTTTTGTCATAAATATAAAATATATAGGTGTAATAAATAAATTATTTAATATGGAATGTATGATAACTTCATATTGTGACCTTATTCATACACGTTTAATATACATTAATACTCGTAAGGGAAGCTCTTCTGAACATAAAATTATTTCCTTAGTGTATTTACAACAAAAATAATTATGGAAGTAGTTCTGGGTTTACAGTTTTGAGTTTCTATTTATCATTTGTTTCATAAAATAAAATTATTAAATATTTATTAAATAAACCAATACTTAGAGGGCAACTTTATGTTTTATTGTTTGTTGTTAAGCACAAAGCTACACAAAGGGTTATCTGTGCTGTGCCCACCACAGGTACCAAAACCTGGTTTTTTAGTGTTGCAAGCCTTCAGACGTACTGCTGAGCCATGGGAGGCAGGTAATTTTATGTATATTATAAAATTAAAATAATCAGTATATCTCAATTATAACATATTTTCAAAAATAAAGAAATTCAAAGTTATGATACAAGAATTAACACAAATTTACACATATCACTATTAAAAAACAAATCAATAAGTCATGAAGAAGTAAAAATATAGAATACTATACCTTAAAAAATAGGAGAAAAGAACTCACTAAAAACTTAAATTTAAAAATTATTTATTAGGTTTGATTTCAGCTGTTAAGACTATTGTTTTAGCTTAAATAATTTTTCAAAAATTAAATATAATTCTTGACAGTTAGCAGTCCTTTAAATGAATTTGTATAAGCACTTTTTAAAACTTAAATATCTTCTTTTCATGTGCTTGTTTGATTGTTGCTATTCTTTTTATGATTTATAATATTCAGTAGCTGAATAAAAGTTGACTGAATTACTTTAACATATTTTTTTAAATTTACACTATAATTTTATCTATCTACCCATATTATCATTATCTCTTTCCATAGGGGAAGGGGTCAGAGCCCATGTCGTCATGTTTTGTAGACTTGCATTCCAAATTTTATCAAACTACTATTTTATGAATGTCCATAAATTCGGAATCAAATTGTAGTTTCTAGTTCAATCTTAGTATTGTTCATTATTTAATTTCTTAGTTCCAAAAGTAAATATTAAAAAAATGGCTAAATATTGATTTTTTATGTGTCACATGATACATATTCTTCTGCTTTTGGTCAGATTGCAGTGTGGGCATCATAAGTTGTAAAATCAAGAGTTTTTAATGAATTAGAAAATCAAATTACCAATACCGACAAGCTAGCATATAAAATAAGAACCTCCTATCTTTTCTATTTGCTGAGATATCATTATATTTAACAAACCAGCCACAGTGGCTCCGCTCATCTCTTCCTCTTTTGAAAATACTTGTTTACCTATGCCTCCTTCTCTTAAGTCCATGTTTATAATCATTCATAATTGCTCATTTTAAACTACATAATTCTGTTAGTCTACCTAAATTTGACATTTTTTCTTACAATGAAAATGTATTTCCCATAGGTAATTACCACTTCTCAAACAAAGCTATCTCCATCTTATATCTGCCCTCTAAGCATTGCTAAAAAATTTTCATGCTCAGTGCACCAGTCTATATTCCCCATCAGCTTTTCCCTCTTCTCACTGAATGTATAATCATGAGTATGTATGGTAAATTAAATTTCTAAACTCACTCAGGAGGAAGCCTCCATGATTCACCACTCCAGTGAATAGGAACTGGGAAGGACTCCTGTGCTCCACTGGAACAAAAAAAAAGAGGGGGGAATAAACATGGTGGGAAGTATGGAAGAACATAATACCAGAGAAAGTTCAATGGGTGCCCACAATTCTCTATTCTGAAAAGCAGATCGACCCAAGTATAGTTAATCAAAGGGTCAGCAGGGATGGGCAGAAATCCCCTTCTGCTTTACTCAGGAAGTCCATGAGTGATGGTCCACCATTGAGTGAAACTTACTGATATCTAGAAACAAATATACCACTGAGTATGCCACCAATGATCTTGCAGAACACCCAATCTCTACAGTGAGCATTATAGCACAATCAGTAAATAGTGTTGGTTTGAGACAAGCAACACCCACCACAGAGTGGGACCCCATTATCAGTGGTAGAAACGAGGGTTGCTGAAAATATAAACATAAATGAAAGTAAGTGATAACACTTACCACATTCAGAGGTGAATGAACATGTGTAAATTGACATGGGAGGGAGACAATATCCACCTGTGGAAAATACAGCCAGATCTTGCCAATCTCCTCCAAGGGACAGGGAAGACAAGCAGCCAAAAACATGGTGATATGACAAATTCTATGAGAAGAAATATTGTGGAGACAGCAACCTTCCATGGATAAGTCTGAATAAACCAGTCTAACAAGTTGACGAACCCACCCAGTTAGCATGACAGGGAAGAGATCAGGGAAAAAAAATAGGAATGTGACCCCCGAAAGCAAGCAGGTCAGGATCAGAATGGGAGTACAGCTGGGAGATTGTTTGTTTGAAGTTAGGCACAAAGCTATACAATAGGCTTTCATGCTTTGCTCCCCATAGGTATTGAAACCAGGTTTCTAGCATTTTAAAT